ACCGGAAAGGTTTCATATTAAGTTGTTCTGTATTATAGTGCCTAAGAGAATATAAGAATTCATAATATGAATAAAGTGGATATAGTTCAAACTCCTCCTTGTGTCTTAAGACTGTGAAAAGACGTAGAGGTCCTGATCTGTAATTCACCTTAAGCTTAATAATGTAAAACACTAGTTAATATGTCGCCGAGCGAAGTGCCATATCCTAAAATTCATATAAATTAGCTAGTAACAAACATTTCTGCAAAATATGCTAAACATAGGCGTAACGGAGCTTGCTTATAATTACTGATATGTTGAAAATGTTTTAAATGGGTAAAGAAGAAAATTTTAGGGTGGCACCCACCATTGGGTGCCATTGTCCCACGCGACGGTCATAGTGGCACCCACCGGTGGGTGCCATTGTCGTCCAAAGGGTTAAGGAGGCCAGAGCTTTGCAGGACCGCTTCGACCGCTTCCATTTTTCTCGTCCGCAGCATGCTGGAGTCTACGCTCTCATCTGCTGTGCACTCTCGCCTGTCCTTTCTCCTTATTGCTTAGTCTCTCACTGTCTCAGTACAAATTTGGGCGAGCCCTTAATTTTTGCGTTTGTAACGGACTTTTCCTTTCCTCTTCTTGACTCACTTCGCACCACTACTTCAATTTTCAGTTCATTACATCAATTGGATCCTGCGGTTTTCCTTTACCCGAAGTGGTTCAGGTAAATGTGTAGCTCCATGGATTTCTGTGCTCTTATAAGCATCTTACTTTGGCAAAAAGGGAATCTGATGTACAGACTTACAACTCAAACAGCTAATACTCACTTTATATCCACTGGCGGCATCCGTGAAATTCCCCTGGGGAAACGCTATTGCTGACCACTCGATTATAGTCGTGTAGCCGGCCTCACTTTCCTATAAATATGAATGATTATTGAATTTTAGCTGATTCAGATAACCATGCGGTTACCGTTGTCCTGAGCGATAGTTTACTAATCGATGGTGCTTCAGAAGGCGGTTGGTGTTTTGTAACGATTTCCACAGGGCTGCTGTATTCGCCGTAGTCGTCCTGAATCATGCATTCACTAACAGCACCCCAAACTGGCTAGCACTTTATTCAAACCTGTACCTCGGCGTTTAGAGGTCTCAAAACACATTCGTATTTAGTGTCGGCGCTCAACCCTCCCAGCGTCCATTCCGAAAACTCGCCAGAGATGGTTACTGTCAGCGGATCGTCTTCTGGTGGAGTGCACGTGAGCTGCAAGGTCACAACAATGTTGAGAGGTACAGGATCGACCTCGACCCCGCTAAGGTGGTCCTGAGAATATTTCCTGCTATCAAAAATCACCTGAACTGCATGAGCCCTTCCGCACTCGTTCGTTTTTTCCCAATCCCATGAAAATGAGGCGTGCGTTGAGTTGAGTACGGTGGCGTTTGTGAACGAAACTCGTCGTGGTTCACCTGAAATTGCTCGGTTGAAGCCAAATATGATACTGAAACATCACTTGCCCCTGAAATCGTTGTCTCAACTTGAGGGCTCACGGGTCTCACGTAATACAAAACACACATCAGCTAAGCGGAGCCCCGCCCACAGAGGGCGTGGCGTGCGTCGAAATGAATTGTACCGAAGACCAAGATTTCGATTTCAGTGACAAAACGACCTCGAAACTGGGCCAAAAAGTGGGTAAGGTGTGCATTGGTAAGTCACATCGAATTAGGGAGACCCACCCCCGGTGGGCGGGGCGTTCTCTAAAAAAGCAGTGCTTTATGAAAAATTTCATAACTCGGTTGGGAGAAAGCCTACAGAGCAGAAAACAATTTGGTGTAAGGGAGCAATGTCTAAGGTGTTTCCTGCATACATGACGTGGGCGGAGGCCCGCCCAGAATGGGCGGGGCGCGCTCTGAAGTGTACAGCATTTTCTACAAGCCCTCATAATTCGGGTCGGGGAAGTCCTAAAGAGCCGGAAAAAGGTGGATAGAGGTGTATGGAGGAGGAAGGTGAAGGCCCGTAATTTCTATCAATACGTGTACGGGCTTGACCAAAGTGGGCGGAGTTTGCGACGAAAATTTATAACTCGGCTCCATGAAGCTCCGGAGGCTGGGGAAAAGGTGGATAGAGGTGGGTGGAGGAGTGGAGGTTAATTGTCATTTGGTGGGCGGGGCCTGACCAAAGTGGGCGGAGTTTGCGACGAAAATTTATAACTCGGCTCCATGAAGCTCCGGAGGCTGGGGAAAAGGTGGATAGAGGTGGGTGGAGGAGTGGAGGCCAGCTGTCATGGTGGGCGGGGCTTGACCAAAGTGGGCGGAGTTTGCGACGAAAATTTATAACTCGGCTCCATGAAGCTCCGGAGGCTGGGGAAAAGGTGGATAGAGGTGGGTGGAGGAGTGGAGGTTAATTGTCATGGGGGCGGGGCTGACCAAAGTGGGCGGAGTTTGCGACGAAAATTCATAACTCGGCTCCAAGAAGTCCGGAGGCTGGGGAAAAGGTGGATAGAGGTGGGTGGAGGAAGTGGAGGCCAGCTGTCATCGGTGGGCGGAGCTTGACCAAAGTGGGCGGAGTTTGCGACGAAAATTCAGAACTCTGTTCCAGAAGGTCCCGGAGAGTGGGGAAAAAAGAAGATATAGTTGGGTGGGAAAGTGGAGGTCAAAGGCCAGTGGTAGGCGGGGCTTGGCCAAAGTGGGCGGAGTTTGCGACGAAAATTCATGACTTGGCTCCAAGAAGTCCCTGAGGCCGCGGAAAAGGTGGATGGAGGTGGGTGGAGGAGTGGAGGCCAGCTGTCAATGGTGGGCGGGACATGACCAAAGTGGGCGGAGTTTGCGACGAAAATTCATAACTCGGCCCCAAGAAGTCCAGGAGGCTGGGAAAAAGGGAGTAGAGGTCGGCGAAGGAAAGGAGGTCAAATGCTATTAGTGGGTAGAGCACGCACCCAAGTGGGCGGAGTTTGCCAAAAGTATCGCAATTCGGTTGCAAGAGGTCCTAGAGATAGGGGAAAACGGGGTTAGAGGTTGGTGAGGGAAAAGAGCTCAACTGCTATTGGTGGGCAGGGCACGCACCGAAGTAGACGGAGTTCGCCACGAGATTTATTGTCCGGGCCGAGGACCGAGAAAAATAGGATAATGGTTGACGAAGAAAGAGCGCATAGAATTTAGCGGAGAATTCAGATATTCGTATTGTATCAAGCCAAATTTGAAATTTTTCGTCGCACCATCAAAATTCGCCACAGATCTGTGTTGCGCGCGCAATGCGTGCGGCGCCAACTGGTATATATATATATATATATATATATATATATATATATATATATATATATATATATATATATATATATATATATATATATATATATATATATCGTATATATATATATTATATATACTATAATATATAAGCGCCAATAAAGCTGAATCCTCGTTAGATTGCAGCAAAACAAATTGTCAGAAATTTTTTTTTTTTTTTTTTTTTCTGTGGCCATCATTTGAGTTGCTGTTCGCAAAAAGGGTATGGGCGAGGGAATTGGGATCGTCGCAGATCGGAAGCTGGTATCACCTTTTCTATAATAAAAAAATTACTCAAAACTCTCCGCAATTATTAAATTCAGTCTAAGCCTGATGCATTGGTTAGCGCGGGAGACCCAGGGGTAAGGGGAAGCGTCTGCTGTTCACTTTCCACTCGGGTGCGAGGTAGTGGCATGGAGGAGAGGCTATGTTGGTCTCAAGGCCCACCATAGCTTGTTGAGAGTTTTTCATGAAAAAAAAAACGGGCGCAGCTTGTCTTTCCTACCGAGCCTAAGCTAACACTATCACAACATCTGCACAATACGGTTTGTGAAAACTGATTAAAAGGAAAAGTATGCCAAAAACTTCGCAGATATCCCTGGATAACGTATTCGAAGGTACGAATAATAGCGTACCTTTGCTGTTCACAAACGCCACCGTGTCCGTACTGGTCGCTCCGACTCCTTGGTCATTGACGGGCCTCACCGAAAACACCAACATTCGACATTCTTCCGTAGCATTCAGACGAACGATTGCCTGCGGTGTCTTTGTGTCTGAAATCAATGTTTTAAATTTAGATTAATTAGAGGACAAATGAGTCACCGTTACTCACCGATGTGATGCGCAAGAAACTTGCGTTCCTGGGATGAGTTGTCCTGCTCAACTTCCTTGTCGAGCGACCAGGATAAACGGTAGCGCAAATGATCGCCTGACTGGTGAGCCTGAAATTGGAGTAAATATTCGAAGGATGCTCCCAAAAAGCGACAGTAGGAAAACCGCCTATGGGAAACAGGAGTCACGCCTGCAGTAGGCGTTCGTATGATCCTCATTGGTGGATCGCCCTGAAGCTTCTTCTGACTACTTCGAAATAAAACAGTTCAAATCCTACCGTTTCCACGGGA